ATCTCAGAAAACTCCCAAAGCTCCCTGGAGGGTCTCAAGAGCTGCTTAGTGGAGTACTCTCACCTTTCGGAGGCTGCAGTAAACTGGAACAAGTCAGTCTTCTTCTTACCTGCTCAGTATGCTCCTTCGGTGGAATTCGGGATGAAGAGAATCACGGACGGCTCGTCAGAGAGGTATTTGGGGGTACAAGTCGCCTTGGAGGACTGCAAAGGCATTCAGAATGACATACTCCAACAGAAGATCACCCAGCGTATTACCAGATGGGGAACAACCCCACACTTATCACTCTTCGGAAGAGCCATGGTATTAAATGTCGCCCTTTTCTCACTATTATGGTTCGTAGGAAGGGTCAAGCTCCTCAGCAAGCAGCTTTTCCAAATCGGTAAGAAACGCTGCAGCTAGATTTCTATGGAAGCCTTTCGGAAAGCTGGATGGAGGTTTCATTTCGAAAGTCGTCTGGGACACAATCTGCCATAACAGAATAGAAAGGGGCCTGGGAATGCTAGACCCAGGCAAACAGAATTTAGCCCTGCTGGCCCAGTGGATCATCAAGGCAATCTCGTCAAACCATGATGACCACTGGATCCTCATGGCGGAGGTTATTTTGGCTGAGGAATGGAACTTACCACGAATGGAGGATGTCTGGATTTGTTGCATGCTGGACTCTTATCTGCGCCGACATATCAAATCTCCGTTTTGGCACGGTGTACTGTGCGCCTGGAGACAGATAAAGCCAAAACAATGGTCCGAACCAACGACCAAAGAAGAGGTGTTGAATCAACCTATTTTTGATAACCCGTTTATCAAGGACCTCAATGACATCTCCTTCTCAGCAGGTACGGGCTCGGGAGTCTTCGGCAGAAGCTGGATACAGCGAGGAGTTCTTCGAATTTCGGACATCTGGGATGAAATCTGCGGCCGCTGGGTATCGGGGTCGGAACTCAAAGAAAAGCTAGGTGGGTTAAGGGATGTGGAAGTCAGGCTCCAAGGCTTGATTCAAGCCACTCCAGTGGATTGGAAACAGAGACTGGACTCTACTTCCACAGACCAGGTGGGTTCGTGGTAGAAGAGAAGGTATATTGGAAACTCGTGGGTATGGACACAGATGGCACCAGATCATTCCAACAATGGGAAAAACTCAGCCAATCAGATTCAGAACTATTCGAAGTAGGGAAGGAAGACGAGGAATTGAATGATGGATGTAACCCACATCCACTCGGTCGGCTCACACAAGTGAGAGTGCGGGAATTCTGTGATGAAGACGGTTCTTGCACCTGCTACATCTGGAATAATGGCACCCCTATCAGGAAACTCAGACTAGACCCAGCAATGTGGAGGTGGCAAAAGGGGTTACAGAGAGCTTCAAGTGACTTCCCCTCCGGTGGTAACAGCTGTACAGCGCTGGTCCCAGGTAGTAGGAAAGGAACCAGAGGAACTTGCGAAGATTCTTCCAATTCTGTGGGAGGTGATCCTGCAAATCCCATCTCAACGGACGGCCTCCATTTTGTGGCTTCTATCAATGCTAGTCACTCCATCAGCTGTTTGGTTACAAAGCAGGGGAATGAATATGGCACTAATCTGTAAATGCTGCAAATGGCCATTTGAGTCAACAGTGCATTTGTGGCTGTCTTGCCCTCTGTCAAGGCGAATCTGGGCCTGGTGGCAATCCCACTGGAGCAGACTGAGTGGGGATAATCTGACGTGGGACGATGATTGGATTCTTTTTGGGGTTCACCTGGGGGAGAATCCAAGGGAAAAAGGCTGGTGGTATGTAGCACAGGTATGCAGGGCGGTTATCTTTGAAGTCATCTGGGAAGAGAGAAACAGTATTGTTTTCAAGAACAAGTTCACCTCTGATCAGGCGCTGAAGAGCAGGGTCAAAAGAGTGGTTAGTTTGGAGGTGCTAAGCGACTGGCATAGGAAGGTGACAAAGTCACACAACAGACTCAGAGGCATAGCTTGGTTCCGTGAGAACTGGGCCAGAAGTGAGGAACTGGCGGTACTTAAAGATGGGAAGTTGGTTCTGGGAGAATGGCTTAGTAGCCTTTAGGTAGGACCTGGGTGCTCGGTCCGGATCTTCGCAGTAGAAGGGCAGTGGGGGGTTTTCGGTGAGTGTGGAAGGAGCATCAGATAATGATGGACTCAGAGTCCGCTAGCAGAAAGGGCCGATGATAGGCCAGAGGAAGACCTGCACACTCGGTCCACTTATCTGCAGGAGGAAGGCAGTAGTTGGAAGCTTGGGTGGGTCTGGAAGGAGTGTGATAATTAGGAGGAGTTGGGTTAGACTCCAGGGTCTGTTTTAAGACCTTTTATTTAGGAAAGTAAGTAGAGTTAGTAAATTTAGGAACCTTAGCCTCTTGGAATTACAAGTCCACTGGTCGGACTTAGGCCGGTAAAAGTTAAGAGGCGACTGTATCATAACTAGGCTAGCCTAGACAGGTAGTGCAGGAGCAGCTAGATATAGACGCAGAAGTAGGCGTAGGCGTAGTTTTTCCCTGTAGAACTTATAGCAGCAATAGGAACTGTAGAAGTAGAATTAGGTTCTGCAGCCTCAGAGCTGCTGGGTTGGAAAAGACCCGCAGGCATAGCCTGTAAGCTTAAGCTGGATGATGCTTCCAGACATTTGCATCTGGGAGTAATGTAGAGGTCCCCGGCCTCTGATGAAACTTTGAAATGGATTTGATTTGGAAAAAAAAAAATAAAAAAAAATTGCTCCCTCTTTTTCGCTGCAGAGATGCCCTCACGGTCTACACAAAAATTGTAGTAACTACGCTTGCACCCTTCGCRGACGTGCTACCACGACACACCCAAACGAAAGTATGGCAAAATATTTCGGCGGCCGCGACGAAGTCGGAAAGTGGTGGGATCCGAAAAAATTGTAGTAACTACGCTTGCACCCTTCGCGGACGTGCTACCACGACACACCCAAACGAAAGTATGGCAAAATATTTCGGCGGCCGCAACGAAGTCGGAAAGTGGTGGGATCCGAAAACTACACTGTAACTGGGCTGTAGTGTAGTGGTGGGATCAGACCCTTAGTGGCCCGTCCGTTCACGACGGCTGGTAACCCGCCGTGACTTTCTGGCTCTCACCAGCCTGCTCGAACTTGACGTTGCTCAGCGCGTGCGTACACTAGCAGCACTCAATGTATCTCGACATAGCACGGACGCTAGTACCTTCAACTTGTTTCTGTTTCAAGGCGCATTGCTGTAGTAATTTAACACCGCACGCGTGTGACGGAAGTTGTTTCACATGTAGTCACTAAGGATCCTACACAGACGTATGTAGGTTTTCCGCGAATTATGCGCATCTCTTGCTGCGTGTGTTCAAGTCTTTTTGCGGCTGATTCCTTCTACCCTCTGAGTGGTCGTCAACTCTGGGCATGACCTTGCGTCACGAGTGCATGCTCGTCCTTGTCAGTAGAATAGCACAACAAGTGTGGAAATTCAGCTGGTTTTTTTTTTTTTTTTTTTTTTTTTTTGGTGTTTGATGTTCATGAACTAGCATTTTGTGGGGGGTTGTATGTGGGGCGCAAGCAAGTGCGGCTTTCAGAAGCTCCATTCTCTTTTTTGAAGTTTTTTCCCAAAGAAGGATCTCTCCTCCCCTTAGGTCAATTTCTTTCCATGATCGGCAATTTCTTTAAGCTTCCAGGTGCGCTCCCCCATAACTCCCACTGTTCTTCCCCCTCCACCCCCTCCTCCCCCAACCCAAACCCCCCCCCCCCCCCCTCCTTCCCTCTTCCTCTCCTTTTCTTTGTTGGGTTTTTCATCGGTTTTCCCCAAGTTGCCGTTCGTCTCCGGGACAGTTAAATAAAACAGGCGTAAACCACCAGCACTTGGCCCAGCTATCGGCCGCGGAAAAAAATAAGAGTAGAAGCGTTTCTAGTCGGATGAATTTGGGCGCTCCTGTAGTGGCCTGTACGTTTCCCAAAATCGTGGCTTGTTTACAAGCACGACTTTAGGAAGTACTGGTGGTTTAAGTTCAGGTAAACCTCAGTGTGCAAGTAAGGTAGGTAATGGCTGTGCTCACCGATTTCTTTTGGTAAAAGGAATGAACCCCCCCACCAAATGATGTCTTTTTTTTTCTTTTTTCTTTTTTTTTCTTTTTTATGTCAGTATTTGTAATCATAATGTAATTGTATCTTTGCATTGAATGGCATTGCAATGATTGCATTCAACAACAAGGCGTTGACACGCAAATTGCAGATTGGGGCGTAATCGCAGCAGGGACTAGTTTACCGACTTGGTCTGGAAAGGATTGCAGTGTCGAAGGCCATGGAAATACTAGTATTGGATGGCCTTGTTGTTTGTTAATCTACACCATTCTACTCACTTGGACTTGTTTGCAGTGAAAAGTGGCTGTTGTACTTTTCTACTCACTTGGACTTGTTTGCAGTGAAAGGAGGCTGTACTTCTGGTTCAATACATCGGGAACTCCGATGAGGAGCATATGGTTGAATTACAGTCATTTTGAAGTATGTTATTGGTTCGAGGATTGATTTGTATCTGCATGAACTTGGACCATTTGGGGTGAAATGTGGATGTAATTCTGGTCCGATACATCCATGGAACACCTGCAGTGGGCATGTATTGATTTAACAGCTAGGCTACCAGCCGGGCCGCCCGGGTCACCCTATTTTCCCGGACGGCCTGGCCGTGCAAGGACCAGGGAAGGTCCTAGCAAAAACACAAAAAAAAAAAAATCCGAAAAAAAAACTAATCTGAAAAAAAAACTATGTTATGCAGAAAAATAAACTGAACAACTTTTGCCTCAGGGTCACATCGAAATTCTTTACCAAATTTAAAATAACAATTAAAGTTAAAACTTAAAAAATAAAATTTATTTATTTATTTATTATTTTTTATGTTATTTTTTGGGCCCGGGCGGGCAAGTGACCCCGGGCCACTCTGGTAGCCTAGTTTAACAGTAATTCTACACGATTTTATGGGTTGGAGGCTTTGAGCTGTTGGAATTCAGATGGCATAGGTGTTGAAGTAAAGCCGAACATTTTCTTTCCACTTCACCGACGTGCGATAGGTATTTTTTATTTCTCAAGTCAGTTTGACTCACGGATGGTGTCTGCTCTGCAGGATCTTACCGCCAAGCGGGCAGAAGCAGGTGGCAGCTCCACAGCAGGGGGAGCTCCGGAGGGTGAGGCTCAAGGAGGAGGCGGAGTGACCGGCACAAGCGTGGGAGGAGGAGAGGGAGGACGCGGAGCAGGCGGAACGTCGGAGGAGACCCCAAAGGGACCGACGACCAGCGAGAGTATCCATACGCCGCCACTGCCATTGCAACCCCCATAAGTCACACCACTTTTCTGTGAACCTTACCTTTGAAGCAACGGTTTGGATTGGATGGAGTCCCTAGGAAGACGTGAAATAGGTTCTCGATCACACAGCCATGGTCTCTAGCTAAACAGATGGATGGATGGATGGACAAATGGGTGGGAATGACATCAGGGTGGATCATTGGGATGGATGCAGTGACCCTTGAATGAGGATTCCCCTGGCTATCCTCCATAAAAGGTCTCCATAAAAGGTAAGAATGAATTCCAGCATACAACACTGAAGTAGTCAGGTGACACTAACTCGACAGTTTTCCCTCGCCCCAAGCACAAAAGTTCCGTTTGAATAACTGCTGCAGTCTGCCGGCTTCGGCTTTTCCATTTTGGCGGTTGAACTGCTGTGTGACGTACATTTCTGTACCTGGGACAGTACAGGGTGGATCAACAACACAAACGGCCAAACCACGCATCAGAGTGACATGGTTACAGGCCCATGCCATTAAATGGCCAGTCACTCGCTGGCCAGTTGATGGATGCTGACTAGCCAGTGCTCAATGCTACTGATAGCCGCTGCACAGCAACAGTTAGCATCAACGAGAAATCTGTGTGAGTGACAATTCGCATGCCCTTGCACCCTCTCATGATGCCCGAAGGCAAGGTCAATGCGTCCCGAGTTCCAGCACAGCAAAAAGTCACAGTTTGTTCAGAGCACAGTTGCCTCCTGGGCCCCTCCGCTGGGACCAGTTCCATTCCAGGTCTCTGGTTGAGTGTGTCACTACTTGGTATAGATGTTCCCCATTTCACACTGTCAAACTGAGTCCTTCGTTCCTTGCCCTGTGAGATTCTCTCTCTCTCTCTCTCTCTCTCTCTCTCTCTCTCTCTCTCTCTCTCTCTGTGTGTGTGTGTGTGTATCTTGTGCACGCGCACTTGCATTATCCTTTCGTTGGGACCTTTCTTGTCCCAATCTTGTTAATCGTTCAATGTATTTAATAATGTCCAGTCCCTAAACTAGTTTCTCCTGTCTGCATTATTGTCATGTTCACATCACTCTCACTCCCATTGCCATATTATCATTTCTGCCATCCTCGGGGTGCTATCACTTTTTAAGTTTTGAATCTTTGATTCCATTCTCCTACGTGACAGAATCCTCTGCCAATTCCACAGCCACCTCCTCTTCTCTGTGTTCCTTTGTTCGGGAAACCCATCAGCTGTACCACATCGTATATACTTATAACTTATGTAACAAGTTGAAGCAGATGACAGATGCAGGATCCAGAACTTGCCCTTCATCTCTTTTCTACTGTCCTATGAGTTTCTTTCTTTGACAGAATATATATCTGCAGCTCTGTTTCAGGAGGATGTTCGGGTCCTCCCTCGACATCGGGGAAAGCTTGCCTCGCCTAGTTTCAAACGCCCTGCGGTTTGATTTCTGTACTGTGAAGCATACGAGCAGGAGGATGAAGAGAAGGGGGAAGAGAAGGGAGAAGAGAATTCAGGGGAGGGAGGGGGAAGTTTAAAAGGAGGGGAGGGGGACAAATAATTTGCACAACAAAAAGAGAGTACAGAAAGTTGTGCGGCAAAAAGAGGGAAAGGCAAAAAGGCTGCGGAGGAAGGGGGAAAAGCACTTCTGGTTCCAGTTTGCGGGATGACTCTTTTGACTTTGACAGCTTACTTGAAGGGCATTCCCGCAAATCGACTGCGCACTCACCTCTGAGGCTCTGACTCAATGATATGATTGAGTCAACGGCTGCGCAGATTTTTCACCACATGTTGCCGTGGCTGATTTCGAGAAGGGGAGAACAGCTCGCCAACATCAGAATGTGTCAGTGGGGTTCAGCACAGCCGTATCTCAACGTACGTCCAAAGAAGACGGTTTTGAATTCACGCTCCACTGCTGGCTCCAGAGTCCATCTATATCTATATGGAAAGCTACCAAGCTGTAATCCAGAGGCGACAGCATTGTCATTATCTATCAGGAAAGCAAAACGAGATAGCTCGCACTTCTTCAACATAGCTCAACTCTTTTTGTGAGTGCGATTGAAGTGCTGTAACTTAGGCTGTAAGAGATTACCCAGTTGATTTTCAGGCTTTCAGCAGAGCTGCCCGCCGCCCGGTCTGTCACAAGTTGACGGCAGGGAGTATCGGAAAGATAGGATCAAGGGGAGTAGTGCGCCGACGGCCCGACGGCGCCGACGCAACTACACGGAACGCTCGATCTGGGGAGGAATCGTGCTTGCGGACATTTACAGGTAACCGAAGGGACAAGGGGGGAATATTGGAATGATAGGTTGAAAGCCTTGAAAGGTGTTTGGCGCAGCAGTGATGAGAGGAGGGTTCAAACGGAGTAAGACAAGGCGACGCGGTACGACAAGGCGGCGGAGGAAGACAAGTCAAGGATGCATCCTGGGGAGGAATCGTGGATGCGGACATTAACAGGTAAGAGGAAGGACAAGGGGGGGGGGGGGGGGGGGGGGGGGGGGGGGGGGGGCGGGGGGTTAGTGTTTTGGGTTATAAACAATGCTCCTGCCACTGATATACACAGATATACACAGACAGACACACACACACACACACCATCCACTAAGAAACCCCCCACCAAGCACCGTCCAACCCCCTTAAACCTACCTCCCCACTATACGACACGCCCAACGACAACAGCACAGGATGCACACACACACACACACGCACACACAACATACCCAACAACAACAACAGCACAGCACACAGACACCCCCACAACGTAGAGCATTGCCGACTTCTGCAGCAGCTTTGCACTCAGGCGAAGCGATTTGCACTCAGGAGGTGAAGTGATTATGGGAAAGAGGAAAGGTGTAATGTTTATGTCTTTGTCGAGCTTTGATTTCCGAAATCGATCCTGGATTGCCCCATAGACTTCATAGACTTTGATGTCTGATGGAGCTTGACAACATTTACGGGCTGAGTGCGAGCGACTGCAGTGAGAGTCGCACAAAAACGAGAAGGCGAAGGGAATCTTATTTGCGGCAGAGCGTCTTTAACTTTGGTACGTCGGGGTACCCTTTGGGGGGTTCTGGTACATCATCCACATTTGGTATCCAAATACCTGTGTTGTCGTCCCCCTTTTTCTCGCATTTTCTTTCCTGGATTTTTATCTTTTCTGCCTACTTCTTAATGCTTTTCCCTCTGCCCTCTTCACTCCCTTCTTCCACTTCTCCTTTGCTTTTTTTTTTTTTTTTTTTTTCCCTGCTCTCTCTCTCTCTCTCTCTCTCTCTCTCTCTCTCTCTCGCGCGCGCGCGCGCGCGCGTTCTCGCGTGCATGCTCGCGCTCTTTATTTTCTTCTCCACCTTCCACAAATTCGCAGAGTCAGTGCTAGAGACCCAATTCATCTTTAAATTCCCATTTTTACACAACTTTTAATAAGTCATTCGCTGGGCTGTGAAAACAAAGCCTGCAACAGAACCCATCGATTTTTTTCTTCATTCAATTATGTCCTCTCGCTTTCTTCGCATCCTCACTCGCTCTCTCTTCGTTTCGTTTTTGTCTTCCTCGTGGGTTTTCCTTCAGCTTCTCTCTATTGGCTGTGTTTGCAGTTCTCTTTGCATGCATCATGCAGTATGCTTCTGTCGTCTTGGATTCCTGTTCGGCTTTCCTCCTGTGGTGTTTATAGTTTACTCTGTATGCATATCATGCAGCATGCTGCCTACCTTTTCAAAAGCAGTTGCGCAGTTCCGCCGCGCTGAGATTTGTTGTGTCTTCCTCTCTGAAAGCTTCGGTCGGTCATGTGTGCGTCAGAAAATCCTGGATCGTGAAAACTTGCAATTTTACCTAAAACGGCAAAAACGGCAAAAAGATGTTTAACGGAACTTTAACCTTGAGATGCTCACAAGAAAGTTGAGTTTTTAATACTTTTTATGGTTTTCAGGTGAGTTCAACATAGCAACGGGCCTAAAAAAAAAAAAAAAAAAAACCATAGCAACGGGCCTAGCTCAGTTGTTAGAGCCATGAATTCTTGAAATACTACAGACCGGAGTTCGAATTCAGATGCCGTCAGATTAACAAAATGACATAGTTGTAAATTACTTAATAGGGTCGGTCAGCTCAATGATGATATCTCAAGGCCGTCGCCCGCTTATGTTTTTTCAAAAAACGAAGAGAGAAGAAAAGAAAAAGAAAAAGTTACTTCGACAGAATTTCGCCGTTTCCTTTTTTTTTTATATAACTGAGGTATATTCTTCTCTCAATTTTTCACCTCACACTAGCTACCTACATACCTAGCTCTATCTCACGATATATCTGGGGCCAAGTCCCACTAGCAGCGTTGAGCTACCTCAGCGCCTGAATGTGGGCGCGTTTGCGGAGATGTGCAGAAATGGTGTTGAGTTTCCCGAACTGCACGTCTCCACAAACACGTCCACATTCAGGCGTTGAGGTAGCTCGACGCTGCTAGTGGGACTTGGCCCCTGAGACAGGATATCCATGTCTAAGCATCGAAGGAAAGGGTTCGACTATCTACTCTATTACTCTATGCAGGGAGTAGTACCTAAGCTCCTAACCCCTACTACCGTCTTCACCCGAATAGAACGCCCGGTCATTATCGCTGCATCTGGACCGAAAGTTGTGCCAAATACAGCTATAATGACCGGGTGTTCTATTTGGATGAAGACGGTACTAGGGACGGCAAGGGGCAAGGGCCAAGGGTATAACCCACTGCAGGCTCCTACCAAGAGCAGCCGTGGGGGGAAGCCAACTATCTCACAGCTGATAAACACCAAGTCCACTGCAGGAGTCCGTGGGGGGTTGAAGTTCCCTTGAACCCACGACCTCCTGAATGCCACTTGCATGCTCAACTAACTGAGTTAGGCAGCTGGCCCTGAATCTCACCATTCTTAAAAAGGCTACCTACCAGAGCATTCTTTCGGACTACCGTAGTTCTGTCAGTGCTCCTCGTCTGAATCACAGGTTCAACAGGAGCTAAACATACATGCATGAGAGTGTATAACAGTATGTGTGAATGTGTCTGTGTGTATGAAGGCATTTTGTGTGTGTGTGTGTGTGTGTGTGTGTGTGTGTGTGTGTGTGTGTGTGTGTGTGTGTGTAGCAATACCCCATAGCAGTGATGCTATGTCGCCCCACGTATATTGCAGATATACTTCGTGGTTCGCCAGTCCCGGGCGTAAGCAATTCCTCATTAGCTCATTATCTATCCAATTGACTACGCATTCCTCATTAGCTCATTATCTATCCAATTGAGTATGTACTATGTAGGAGATTTTTGCTATTGGAGATTAGCTTTAGTCGGACAGGACTATTCCCAA